GGTGGTGATAGCTTGATAGTGTTGAGACTTTGACCCCTGAGCCACTAGGGAGACCCTAACCTCTTATATTTCTTTTTTTTAAATTTCTTTTTTTAGTAATTTTTTACATCATTGTTCATTTTTAAACAATATTTGCTTTCCCCCACCCCCTCAGGTGTAGTCCCCATAGAGTTTCCTTCCCCAATGCACCCGTGCACTATCACCTCAGTCCCCTGTGCTCCTCCCTCCCTCCCTCTGATCCCTCTCCCTCCTCCTCCCCTGCAGGATGTCTCTGATTTATAATTGTCTGTTTTTGTTTTGTTGTCTTTTGTATTGTTATTATTTCTTTACATTGATGTCTTATTTGGTTCCCCTATATTCTGCCTATAAGTGAAACCATTCAATATTTTTCTTTTTCTTTCTGACTTATTTCACTGAGCGCAATTCCTTCTAGCTCCATCCACATTGCTGAGTATGGCGTAACTTCTTATATTTCTATAGCACCTAATTGTTACAAAGTATAACACACCCACACATCATTTAATCCTAATAACTCTGCAACATTGATATTACCATCTACATTTGATGAATGAATGAATGAGGCCCACACAGGATAAATCATTTGCCTCAGATCAAATGGTGGATTAATAGTGCTGAGAATAAAATTCAAGACCAAATTTCTTTTTTTTTTTTTAAGATTTATTTATTTATGCATACAAGAGCTGGGGTATAGGCCAGAGGTGTGGGGAGTGAGAGGATTCACCAGAGACAGAGTGGGGAATAGAACAGGCAGTTTGACCGAAGTACACTGCTGAGGGGAGCAGCGAGTGAGTCAGGAGAGGTCTGCTGCACCATATGGGTTGCTCCCTGGCTGGCAAGGGACCGAACTCGTGCTGCAAAGGCTGCGGATTGCTTCATAGTGCGCTGCTTAACCCCTTGAGGCACCAGGTAGGCCCTCAAGACCAAATTTCTGTCCCAAGAAATGATCTTTAAAATACCAGAACAGGGCCTCCCTGGTGGCACAGGTGGTTGAGTGCAGCGCTGTGAAGCTGTCTGCAGCCTCTGCAGAGCCGGTTTGATCCCCGCTGGCCTAGGAGCAACCCACATGGCGAGCAGACCTCTCCTGTCTCGCCTGCTGCTCCCCTCAGCAGTGTGTTTCAGTCAGTCTACCTGTTCTGTTCCCCACTCTGTCTCTGGTGAATCCTCTCACCCTCCCATGCATCTGGCCTGTACCCTGGTTCTTGTATAAATAAATAAATCTTTAAAAAATAATAATAAAATAAAATAAAATACCAAACCTCTTTGGTGACCCAAGGGGTTAAGTCTCAGTACTATGAAGCTATCAGCAGCCACAGCAGTACGAGTTCCATCTCTGGCCAGGGAGCTAACCCACACATGGTGCAAGCAGACCTCTCCTGTCTTGCCTGCTGCTCCCCTCAGCAGTGTGTTCCAGTAGATCTGCCTGTTCTGCTCGTCACTCTGTCTCTGGTGAATCCTCTCACCTCCCCACACTTCTGGCCTACATCTCAGTTCTTATATGCATAAGTAAATAAAAATAAATTCTAAAAAAAAGAAAATGAAAATATCTTCACACCACCAAATATCTGACAAGGGACTGGTATCAAGATCTACAAAGAAAACATACAATTTAACTAAAAGAAAACAAATAATAAAATAAATGGGCAGAGGAGCTAAACAGCCACTTCTCCAAAGAAGACATATGCATCTCCAACAGGCACATGAAAAAAAAAGAAGTCCATCATCACCTATCATCAGGGGAATGCATATCAAAACCACTATGAGCTACCACCTCATACCAAGGAGAATGGCTCAAATCATAAAGATCAGAAACAGTAAGTGCTGGTGAGAGTGTGGAGAAAAAGGAACCATTTTACAATGTTGGTGGGAATGTAGACTGGTCCAGCTCCTATGGAGAGCAGTGTGGAAGTTTCTTGAAAGAATAAAAATGTTATCTGTCAGTTTCCGTGGTGGCGCAAGGGGTTAAACACTGCACTGTGAAGTAATCCATAGCCTCTGCAGCACGAGTTTGATCCCCATCGGCCAGGGAGCAACCCACATGGCAAAGCAGACCTCTCCTGTCTCGCCCTTTGCTCTCCTCAGCAGTGTATTTCAGTATATCTGCCTGTTCTGTTCCCCACTCTGTCTCTGGTGAATCCTCTCACTGCCCACCCCCCCCACATCTCTGGCCTGTACCCCAGCTCTTATATGCATAAATGAATAAATGTTTACAAAAATGTATCTGTCATACAAGCTAGCAATTTATAAGCAATTCGTAACAAAAACACTAATTTGAAAGGAAACCTGCACTCTCATGTTTATAGCAGCACTATATTCTGAACCAAACTAAGTGCCCCCAAACAGACACATGGATCAACAAGATGTGGTGTAGTTATATACAAATACACACACACACACATATACACACACAATGGAATACTACTTAGCAATCAAAAAGATAAACTCATGCCATTTGTGACAACATGGATGAAGCTGGAAGGGCTTATACTTAGCAAAATAAGCTAGTAGGAGAAAGATAAATACTGGATGATGTCTCCTATATGTGGAATATAGAGAAAACAGACAACGGGTCAAACCAAGACAAACTTATAACCAACCCTTGAAAACTGACAAAAGAGGGTGAGGGAGACAAGTGAAAACAATGGTATGGGAGTGTGGGGGAAGATCTCAATGTTGACATCAATATCACATTGTAAGAGAACTTCCATTCAGTACCTTGGCTTTAGAAAAGGTTAGGGCCAAAATACTATCTTTCAAGAGAGAACTAAAGTTAAAACAGCATATTTCCTAACCTGACCTTATAAATTATCCTCATTGACTCTAAATTAAGTTCTAAAAAGTTGGGTGCTTACCTTATAACCAGTGGTTTTTTAGGTTCAGAGCAACTGTGAGATAATTTTTTAATTATCCTTTTGACCTGACGTCTACATGGGACACACACTTGTCATAGATGTTCCAATTTCGAGAGGGGCTGCAAAAATCCCTCTCTCTTCTTGTTCCTGGTATGCAGTAACTTCTATGTTTCTGTGAGGTTAAGGGCCTAAGGTTCAAGCATTATTAAATATTATCATTTACCAATAAACCTAATATGAGGCAGGCACTGTACTGGCCCCAAGAAATAAAGTGGAGAACAAAGAAAGTATGTTTCCTCTTTTCACTGTGCTTACAATCAGCTGGGGAAAAGCAGTTAAAGAGCTATTACAACTAAGTGTGGTGTGAGACAGCCATTTAGACAATAGTGATTTCTTAAAAAAAAAAAAAAAACCAGAAGGAAACAATATTAAATGTTAGGGAAGATAATACCATTGTTGGACTAGAGAAATAATAATTACCTCTCCCTTGCTTGCCTCCACTACACTTGGAAAAAATTACACACTGCTTCCAAATCTCCACTCTACCAGGTGGCCTTGTGACAGGCAGTTTTGCAATGAATATTAAGTTCAAGTCTTGGGGAAAACTTTCACTTTCCTAAAAGGGCAGATGTGTTTCACCCCCCTATGTTTCCCCTTCTCCTTTTCTTTTTTTAAATATTTATTTATGTATACAAGAACTGGGGTGCGCGCCAGAGGTGTGGGGGGCCTGTGAGTGGATTCACCAGAGACAGAGTAGGGAACAGAACAGGCATATCTACTGAAATACACTGCTGAGGGTGGCAGCGGGGAAGTCAGGAGAGGTCTGCTGCACCATGTGGGTCACCTCCCTGGCCAGGGGTCAAATTTGTGCTGCAGTGGCTGCGGATAGCTTCACAGGTTATGTCTTAATCACTTGTGCCACCAGGGAGGCCTCCCTTCTGCTTTTCTGAATACAAATATGATATCTGAAGCTGCAGCAGCCACTATCACAACCCCTTCTGAATAGCAGATAACTAGCAACCCTAAGGATGGAGTGGAAACAGAAAAAGCCTGAGTCTCTGATGACACCAGTAGCCCTATATCTACTCCTGGCCTATATACCTGGAGACTCCTTGTGATGGAAGAAAATTAAGTCACTGTCAGGCAGACTTCCTGTGCCTGAAAGTATTTTTATTTTATTTTATTAAATTTATTTATTGAGGACCTCCCTGGTGGCCCAGGGGTTAAGTCTCAGAGCTATCACTGTGACAGCCTGAATTTGATCCCTGCCAGGGAGCTAACCCACATGGCACAGCAGACCTCTCTTGTCTTGCCCGCTGCTCCCCACAGCAGTGTATTTCAGTCAATCTGCCTGTTCTGCTCCCCACTCTCTCTCTGGTGAATCCTTTCATCACCCACATCTCTGGCCAACAGCGCAGTTCTTTTACACACAAAAAAATAAAAACTTAAAAAAATATGTATTTTCTTACATCATTCTTCATTTTTTTTTAAATAGAGGCATATTTTATTTATTTATTTGTTTGTTTGTCTATACATGTATAGACAAACACTGGGTACAGTCAGAAGCGCGGGAGGGTGAGAGAATCCACCAGAGCCAGAGCGGGGAGCAGAGCAGGCAGAAGGACCAAAGTACACTGCTGAGGGGAGCAGCGGGCGGCAGGAGAGGTCTGCGCGCCATGTGGGACCCTCCTGTGGTGGCCGGGGAGCAGCCGGGGATCGAACCGGTGCCGCAGAGGCCGCGGGCAGCTTCGCAACCCAGCGCTCAACTGCTGCGCCACTGGGGAGGCCCCATTCTTCATTTTGTACAGTATTTGATGCTCCCCTCAGGTGAGTCCCCATAGTTCTCCCCCCATCATAGCACCCGTGTGATCCATCACCATAAACCCTTGTGCTCTTCCCTCCCCTGTTTTGACCCCTCACTCTTCCCTTACCCTTCTGTATGCCTCACATCTATGTCAGCTTGCAAGTTTTGTCTTTTTCCTGAAAGTATTTTTATTTGGTGCAAATGGTTTGAGCCTAATATTCTGGAAATAGTAAAACTAAAGTTATTTCTTACTAATGCATTCATGAAAGTATAATAAATTACTTTCTTGGGATTGCCTTTCTGTAGATTAAAAACTCACAAAGAAACAATTTAAAATGGTAGAATTTACTTTAATATAATGATATATATTATGCACATACACTATTTAAAAATAAGCATGTGAACTATAATCATTAAAAAACATAAATCCAGCCTTAATTTAATATTATCCAACTAAAAGAATATGTATAGAAGTCAGTCTAACATTGTTGCAACTGCCTTTTAAAGTTAGAGTACATAAAATATTTAGCATATTGTATTTTATCTTATTTCAGTTTTCACATTATCATCATTAGGTATAAATATCTTTAGGAATGTGCCAACTTATACATACATTCAAATAAACAAAATCTCTTAATAGTTATTAAAGTACCATTAAGTCACCTAAAATGAGTAATCTAAAAAAATACTACCCTAAATTAAAACCCTGAGGAATTAAAATCTGTTTACACAATAGTTTTGGTTAAGTGCAATTTTATGTTTGTACTACTTTATTTAAGGTCATACTTGGTAAGGCATAGTAAAAATAAAATCTACATAAATTACAATCCTAATCTATACCTCATTTCTTGCTACAAAGTTATTCTGTTTCCCCAAAAAGTAGTTTTTGCATGTCCTTCTAGACTTCTTCCCCCTTGCTGGCTTATTTGTTTTATATACAATAGTTAAGATTTGTGCACTAAGCTGAGCTGCCTTTCTACGGTGGTTCAGACAAAATGCACCTGAAGAACTACATGGTAGAGAGTTCATGTCCGTGCTCAACCATGGCCTGCACAAACTGCTTGAAGACTCGATCCATGTAAGTGGACTGCCTTGGCCAGATTCCTTCCAGAAAACCAATATGGCCTCCATAAGAAGTAAGGACCAAAGCAACATTAGGGTTTTGCTTAGCAGTTTCTATTGGAATAGCTTGGAGGAAAAAGTAAGGGAAAGTTTAAGAGAGGGAAGGAGAGACAAAAAATATAATTATTACCAGTTTTTGTTAATAAAATCATATGTCTTTATCATTTCCAATCATTATAATATAAAACATCAAGAAGTTTTTTATAACTTGGCTAAATGGAGTAAGTCTGACTAATTGATATCAACCATCAATATTCTTATAATAGTTCATGTTTAAAGTTATATGCCAGACCATCAAGTTTAGATTCAATCTAGGTGTTTAATTATTACATAAAATATAGGCCCAATCATGTTTTAAGAAGTTAAAGATAATTCAAGGAATAGTGAATACTTATACTATATTGCATGATTTTCACTTAGGTGTTACACAAGGGAAAAAAACCTAATGCTATTACTTTTGTGAGAGTTATAAATTCATTATGTATGACTTTGCTTAACTTTACACAGGAGTTAGATTCCTGAAGCCAACTGGTGGGTATATTAATGATTAAAAATTATAAATATGGGCCTCCCTGGTGGCACAGGGATTAAAGACACAGAGCTATCAAGCTATCGGGAACCACAGCAGCATGAGTTTGATTCCCAGCCCGCCAGGGAGCTAACCCACATGGTGCAGCAGACCTCTCTCTCTCCTGTCTCACCCGCTGCTCCCCTCAGTAGTGTATTTCAGTAGATCTGCCTGTTCTGTTCCCCATTCTGTCTCTGATGAATCCTCTCAGCCCCTGCACCTCTGGCTTGCACCACAGTTCTTGTATGCATAAATAAACAACTCTTTATTAAATTATAAATATGATTTACATAATAAAAACATATAGGTAATAAGAAAGAATAGAATAAAATATTCTGAACTGTAACAATGTTTATCTTTGTTTGGATAAACATGGTGATTCTTTTTTCTTTGTTCTCTGAAATTCTATTTATAATCAGTAAAAAGTAAAACTATTTTGAAAACATAAATGCTTTATTGAAATAATTTGCCAGTAATGACAGTCTTTTCATTTGCTTTTTTAAAAAAAAAAGATTTATTTATTTATGCATACAAGAGCTGGGGTACAGGCCAGAGATGAGGAGGGAGGGATGAGAGGATTCACCAGAGACAGAGTGGGGAGCAGAACAGGTGGAAATACACTGCTAAGGGGAACAGCGGACTAGACAGGAGAGGTCTGCTGTGCCATGTGGGTCAACTCCCTGGCTGGGGATCAAACTCGTGCTGCAGTGTCTGTGGATAGCTTCATAATGCTGTGTCTTAACCCCTTGTGCCACCAGGGAGGTCCATCATTTGCTTTTTAAAATCTATCCTGAGTGAAAACTTGAAATGATTTGAGTAAAAGTTGTTTTATTTTTTTCTTCTCTGCTTAGAGTTCAAAGAGTGAAAATGTTTTCACTTAAGATCTGTGACAAATAGATCACAACCTGGCTTGACAAGTATTTTGATTTCAGATACTGCTACATGTTATCTTTTTAATGGAGATAACAGAGTTGATGCAATAATTAGACTTCACATCTTTGGCAGAGTCTTGAGCTAATTAAAAATAATGTCTCCCTACCTGACACCTATCTAATGAAGGAAAGAAAGCTGACACACTATAGAGAACTGAGTTCCTTCCAAACTGAGTTGTTGCTTGTACAAATTGCCTGTTTAATATGACATTCTAAATTTGACCTCTCACAACACTCCCTGAAAAATAAACTTAGAGACCCTAAATCAAGGCACAGTGAGTCACATCCTTATTTGATAGGAGTTCTGAACGTACATCCTTAGCCAGCCACACTTAAAAATGAGTATCTCCTATCTTGGTATCAAGTGTGAGCGCTTAAGGGGAGGAGCAGGTGAGATGACTAATACTATTTTTGCATTTCCTCTTGCATCAGGCATTAAGGGCATAGATGTAGAGAACTTCATTTGCCCCTAGTGGAATTATTAAAAGCCCCAATTTCACACTCTGGATGCACTCAGGAACTTCTAACACTGTTAGTTACAGTCTTGTCAGAAGAACAAAAGGCTGTGCCACACTTGAGTCATGTGACAGACGCTGGCTCTCAGAATGCAGACAATTGTCCACTATGTCAGAGTGATAAGACTACATTAAGGGCTTGGGCAAGAATAGGAAATAATGAATTTAAACTTTGACCAAGTGGATCAGGTTAAATGTTGGCAAACTTTGGTTGGTAAAAGAAGGGTTAGTGAAATACAGAAATAGATGGAAAAATACAAAACTTCTTTAATCCAATGAAATTACATTAATCATGTAATTTCTTTGATATTAAAGCTCAGTTTCATTTTCTGATTTGTGGGCAAAGGCCAGAAGTTCCAGCTATTTAAAGTTAACTATAATTAATTATAAATTACATGATAAAAAATTATCACCTATAGATATAATAGGTAATTTTTAAAATATACTTTGGGGATATTCTGAAAATTTCACAATATATATGTGTTGTGTTTGTACTCAGAATAATTTTTTAAATGAAACAATTGAGGAAAATATTTGTGTAATATTTAGTGGGAAAACAAGGTGACATTTTTTATAAAATGTTTTGTGAAATGTCATTAGGAAAAAATTAGATGCCAGTCTACTGATCCTTAAGATAGCATGATTACTTCTCATCATCTTACATTGCTTCAATGCATGAACACATGCATAAATATCTTTGTTACCAAATTCCACATTTTTTGTTTATTGATTTTTTTTCTCCATACCAAATTCAATATTTCTTGAGTTAAAACAGCAAGGAAGTTAATTTTGGCATAAATTTTCTTTTCTCCAGAATCCAGAGGAAAAAGTACTACTTCCCATCAATATGACTTTGTAACCTGAAATGTGCTGTATACTCCTTGAGATGTTCAGTGACATAATATTTATGAACTCTCAAGTTCTCTTCTAGACCCAAAGGGGAGAAAAATTCCAAAGTATAGGCACTTTAGGAAGAAAAAGTAACATATTCTGGAGGCAATGTATTCTTGAGGATTATACTGATACCATAACATAATCTGTCTAAAGAACTGTGCATTTGACAAGAAGGAAAAGTTATAAAAAATAAGAACAAGTAAAAAATTGAGTCAATTTTTGAGACTCTGACAATAGACTAGATAAGGGTCTCTGACACCTTTAAAGTCATCTGAGACATTTAGATACTAAATTATGAGTAGCTATCTTTTCTTTTTTAGTGGACAGCATTACATGACTGACATTTTATTTCTTATAACTGTATCTTTAAAAATGACAATATTTTGAAAACAGTTTATTCATTTCATAATGTATACAAAGAAGTTAATTTTACCATGACTGGGTGAGAAAACATCATCCACGGAATTCAGACACAACACTGGAATTCCTACTGATTTCAGTCTGCGATTCGGACTGGCGTCTGTATAATAATCATCAATTGTTCGGTATCCAAACATGACTGACGTGAATCGTTTATCAAACTCCCTGATGGACTTAGCCTGAAATACAAAAACAGATTATACCTATTCTTGGAATCCAAAGAGGAAATCAAAATATTACCTAAATTTCTCTCCTACCTTCATGACATGATCCATGTCAATTTGTTTTACAAACATATGCCGGTGCCTGGAAAGAAAGAATTCAAAAGTAAAAAATTAAGGTCATTCCCATCTCAATCATACCTAAAATATATAATAACTAAGCTGAGTATAAAGCACAAAGTTGGTGTATTCCAATAAATACTTACTGAACCAGACAAAGAAGTAGTACATGATATTTGTCCTAAAGACATTTTAAACATTTTCCTTAATTGACAAAGAATGAACCTTTTTGTAATAATAAACATGTCTTATTTCATAACAAATTGTACCTACACACAGCTGGAATTAAACAAATTTTGCCAAAAAGAACTAACTTGCGCCAGAAACTTTAACTAGATAAATTACTTGAAGACACTATTTTTTCAATTGTTATACTGAAAATTACAATTTTTGTATACTTATTTTCAGAAATAAGTATACAAGATTTTGGTCATTTTTCTTGTATAACTAATATTTTAATTTAAATCATCTATACTTTTCTTGATACAGTCCCCCATTTCAATGACCACCAAAATGATATGATGATTAATATTGTAAGCAATATTTTATAATCAACATCTGCAATTTATCAATTAGGTTAACTTTAATCCAATGTTTAATGTCAATGTACAGGATAACTACAGTTTTCTTTTTTTAAAAAAATATTTACTTTATTTATTTATGCATACAAGATCTGGGGTACAGGCCAGAGGTGTGGGGTGTGAGAGGATTCACCACAGACAGAGTAGGGAGCAGAACAGGCAGATCTACTGAAATATACTGCTGAGGAGAGCAGTGGGCGAGGCAAGAGAGGTCTGCTGCACCATGTGGATTAGTTCCCTGGCCTGGTATTGAGCTTATGCAGCAGTGGCTGCTGATAATTTTATAGTGCTGACACTTAACCCCTTGCACTACCAGGAAGCCTGAGCTACAGTTTTCAATAAGTAATGTACATATTAACTGTACCAGTTACTTAGAGAATTTATTAATCAATTCACTTAAAAATACACAGATAAAGGGCCTCCCTGGTGGTGCAAGGGGCTAAGTCTCAGCACTATGAAGCTATCAGCAGCCACTGCAGCACAAGTTTGATCCCCTGGCCAGGGAGCAACCCACATGGCGCAGCAGACCTCTACTGACTGGCTCGTTACTCCCTTTAGTAGTGCATGTCAGTCAATGTTCCTGTTCTGCTCCCCACTCTGTTTCTGCTGAATCCTCTCACTGTCTCCACCCCTCTGACCTATATCCCGGCTCTTGTATGCATAAATAAATAAATCTTTAAAAAATGCATGGATACAGTCATCAAAATAAACAAAATATCTTTTTTTTTTTTTTGCTGTCACACTTATTTAACTCTTAGAAGATATGCAAAAAATTTCAGAAACACCAATGCATAGACAATATTTTGGTAGTGTTAAGAACTATGGGAGGGGCCTCCCTGGTGGCTCAAGGGTTAAAACGCAACCCATGCCACTGCAGCATGAGTTCAATTCCTGGCCAGCCAGGGAGCAACCCATATGGCGCAGCAGACCTCTCCTGGCTCACCTGCTACTCCCTTCAGCAGTGTACTTTGGTCAATCTGACTGTTCTGTTCTCCACTCTGTCTCTGGTGAATCCTCTCACCCTCCCCACGCCTCTGGCCTATACCCCAGCTCTTGTATGCATAAATAAGTAAATTTTTTTTTAAAAAAGAAAGAACTGTGGGAGTGGTTCTCCCTGGTAGTATAGGGGATAAATCTCAGTGCTATCTTCTCTGTGTCCAAGATCCATCCCTGCCAGGGTTAGCCAGGAAGTTAACCCACATATGGTACACCAGCCCTCTGCTGTCTTACCTGCTGCTCCCCTCAGCAGTGTATTTCAGTAGATCTGCCAGTTCTCTGCTCCCCACTCTCTCTCTGATGAATCCTCTCACCTGCCCCCCGCCCCTGCACCTCTGGCCTAAACCCTAGTTCTTGTATGCATAAATAAAAATTTATCTTTAAAAAAAAAAAAGAGCGGTGGGAGCTGAGATTATCCAAGTGAGCTGCATTCTCCTAAATTTCTTTCTTTTTTTGATCTATGATGAATCATTATTTTATATTCTTGTTTGTTTTTTCTCTATATAGGATTTCTGTCCTCAGGTGTGGTCAACATAGTTTTCCTACTACCAAAATACCCATAGTCCTCCATTGAGTCTCCTAACTTTCCAAAACCATGACTAAGCACATAAGCACATGCTTAAGAAATCATATTATTCAGCACTGAAAAGCACTTAATACATTATACACTACTTAGAGAGAATTAGGAACTGATAAGATTATCTACAAGTAGAAAATCCAGGGAAATCATCCATAATTTTACTCAACACATAATAGTAATTATTCACGTTTTTTGGAATAACCTGGAACAGCAAAAGAACAGTGATCTTCAAAGTGGGAGCATGTTCTTTAGGGTTTGTACAAAATAATCCATTGGGGTACAAAAAGAAAACACAAGTTTTATCTATATTTGTAGATTACACTTAAAGTATTACATATATATTTACAAAATGAAAAAGATTTTGGTATAGGAGTAAATGCATATAATGTATAAATAAATATGCATATGTTAGCAGTGTTACGCTTTAAGCCTTTTTACTGTTGGGATACATAATCGAAAACATTTGCAGATATGAGGTTTTATAGATGACTCACTTATTAACTGAAGACTGAAGGCAGGTTGTCAAATAGTAATTAAAAAGTAGCCAGTTCAGTGGCTTTTCCAATGACTCTGAGCAAGCAAAAGTATTCCAACCAACTGAAAAAGTTGCAGCTGCCTTCAAAGGAGTTTTTGGCCCAATTTTGCCCAGGTAATTTAAAAGTAGCATTCTGAAATGAAGAGAACAGGAAACTCAGTGATTAACTCCAGGAACTCAGTTACATCTCTTAAGACAACCCATTTCTAACTATGGATTTTATATTAACCTTAGAGAAGAAAATATAAAAGAGTTTTTAAGTTCTCTATCTTGGAAAAAAAGTAAGTATTTACATTCTTCCCTTATATTAAAATATTTATCTCATAGTCAATAACATTGTGAATAAGGCAAATCATACATTTGCTACTTACATGGATGTCCTTCTATAAATTAAAAACATGAGAGAAATCTACCTGAGAGTGGTTTTCTTTTCTTTTTCTCAAAATGATACTAGGGATTTATAATAAATACACAAATCCCTGAGCCACAACTTTCAGTTAAAAGTTAAATTTACCTGAGGCGGTGGGGGAAGCTAATATTGTTTAAAAATTTTGCACACAACACTAATGATAAAGGACTGATCACAAAAATCTACAAAGAGTTGATGAGACTCAACAAAAACAAAGAAAATAATCCAGTCAAAAAATGGGCAGAAGAGCTAAAAAGAAACTTCTCTGAAGAGGAAATGCAAATGGCCAACAGGCATATGAAAAAATGTTCAACATCACTTGCAATCAGTGAAATGCAAATCAAAACTACCATGAGATACCATCTTACACCAGTGAGAATGGCACATATTAAAAAAACTAGCAACAACAAATGTTGGCGAGGTTGTGGAGAAAAAGGAACTCTCCTGCACTGTTGGTGGGAGTGCAAACTGGTCCAACCACTATGGAGAGCTGTGTGGAGATTTCTTGACCTACTAAACATAGAGCTTCCATATGATCCAGCAATTCCACTCTTAGGTATTTACCCAAAGGACACAGAAACATCAATTCCAAAGAGCACCTGCACCGCTATGTTTATAGCAGCACTGTTTACAATAGCTAAGCTTTGGAAACAACCCAAATGCCCAAAAATAGATGACTGGATCAAGAAGATGTGGTACATATACACCATGGAATATTACTCAGCATTCAAAAAAGATAAACACATGCAATTTGCAGCAACATGGATGGCGCTGGAAGGGATCATGCTCAGCGAAGTAAGCCAAAAAGAAAAAGAAAAATGCCGGATGGTCTCACTCATAGCAGGAATTTAGAAAACTTAAATAAGGGACCAGGAAAAAGAATAACTATAAGAAAGTAAAAGTCAAAATCAACAAACAACTATGAACCAGAGACACTCTATGGGGGGTGGGGGGTGGGGAAAGGAGGGATTGGGGTCAAAATAAGGGGGTTGCAATTGTATGGGGAATATAAAAATAAAATTAAAAGAAAAAAAGAAAAAGATAAAGGATGATAAACCAAAAAAAAAAAAAAAGAACAATGATGTAAAAAATAAAAAAGAAAAAAAGAAAGTTAAAGTTACTACATGAGGGGTATTTCAGGCAAACTTTTTCAATAAAGGGCCATATCGTAAGTGTTTTGGGCTTTGCTGGTCATATAACCTGTGTTGCAGGTACTCAACTTTATGATTTAAAGTATAAAAACAGCTGTAGACAATATAAAATGAATAGATGTGGCTGTGGGCCAATAAAACATGATATATGATACATAAATTTAAATTTCATATAATTTTCACATTTTCACCCATTTCAAAATATAATTCTTAGCTCGGACTGCACAAAAATGGACAGCTGGTCAAATTTGGCCTTCCAGCTGCGGTTTGCCAATCTTTGGCATAAATGAAATAGCTCTGATGGAGTGGTGTAGGAGCAGGAATGGACACAGCAGGTTTTCTGATCCAGCAGACCAGGGCAAGGAGAGTCCTGGAGCCCTCGGTGGCTTTTGCAGGCTTTTATTGGGATTTACCAGGTACATGGCAGGCAGGGGTGCTGGGACGGGGGCTGGGAGGCTGGCAGTCCTCTCAACCCCCAGCAAATCTTCACTGTATCTGGGCTCTCCGGCCTTCTCTTGCGTTCTCTCTGCTTCTCTCAGGGCTCTGCTTCTGCTTCTCTGCTTCTCTCTTAGCTTCTGCTGGCGTCCCTGCAACACCACCCCTAAAAGCCCAGTCTCAGCCCAGGTGAATCCCATCTACATATGCCCACACCCTATTCCAGGTGCCAGCCATCAGGCATGCATTCGGGACCACAGGGTTCTATCCTAATGGCGGGGGGTGGGGGTAGCTACATATTGGAATCACCTAGGGAGTTTTACAACTACTATGATGCCTTACCCCAGAGAGTCCAAGTAATAGGTCTGGGTGGCGATTCTAGCCACCTAGGCATTCTCATACCTACTCCAAGTCTCTAAAGAGTTCCCTAGTCTAGAGTCAGACTTTCTGAGTCATGGCCAAGCAACTGGCCTAAAGTAATTTGTTTTCTCTTCCTACTCCTATTATTATTTCTCTTCCTACTCCTATTATTTCTCTTCCTTCCTATTATTTGTCCTTATCACCTATCAGATATTTTCCTCTTGTTCTACTAATTTTCCTGATTCTATCCTGTTTTATTTGGTAAGAGGGACAATAATGAAGTTTAATCTAATAACAATGTGAGAAATTTAACATTCCAAAGTAAGAGAAAGTGTACTATCTTAAATCCTGCTTCTCATTGTATTTTCTTTTATTTCTCCAGTTGCCAGACTCTGAAATAGGACAAATATGTAAAAATTCTTTCTTTTATCCAACCCAAATGGAAAACTCACTTGCAGGGCAAATTTGATGAAGTTTTAGATGAAAAGTGAAGATTTTGTTTTTGAAAATGACCACAACAGCTTATACCTTATATACAGTACTAAGGTTCACTAAATCATTTTAAAAAATAATGCTGATTCTCCTGCAGAGGTTCTGGGTTCTAGTGTTGGTGACTGTAGGGTAAGGAAAAAATGTCAGGCTTTTCTGCCCTCCCAGCATTAGAATAGATGACGGACCCCTGCTGTCCTGAATGCATGCCTGATGGCGGGCACCTGGAGTAGGGGGTGGGCATAGGTAGATGGGATTCACCTGGGTTAAGACTGGGCTTTTAAGGGCAGCGTCACAGGGATGCCAGCAGAAGCTAAGAGAGAAGCAGAGCCATGAGAAGAGCAGAGAGAATGTGAGAGCAGGTCGGAGAGCCCAGAGTGAAGACTTGCTGGGGGCTGGGAGGCGCCCAGCCCCTGCCTGCCATGTACCTGGTAATCTCAATAAAAAAAAACTGCAAAGCCACTGAGGACTCTGACTCCTCCTTTACCCGGTCTGCTGGATCATAGAAAACCTGCTTTGTGGTCTTTCTGACCCTACAATTGGCGTAAGTCGGCAAGATGATCCATGCAGACAGGTATGGAGCCTCCGAAGACCTGGAGGGACTAAGGAGTTGTAACAAACTGTTTGCCTGTGACAACGCTGGAGGCATCATGGCGGCATAGGAGAGGGACAAGGTCCGGGAGCTACAGGACAAGACCTCACGTGAAGGAGATGCCCAAGAGAACCAGCCAATGACCCCTGACGCAGCAAGAATCTTCGGTGAAGAGAGGACCATGATTCACAGCTTGCCAGTGCTGATGCAGGGAGAGCCTAATGGACTTGGACTGATGGACTTGGACTGACAATTCCGCCAGAAGGTGGAAGAACTTTGGCAAGTTAAGTTTTTGGGACCCTGGGGAAGGATGCTATTGTTTGTATACCCCAGGAGATGGGAATCTGGGGTGGCCAGTGGGCCTTGATGGCCAAAAGCAGCCTGTGTACCCAGTGCAGCTAGGCAGAGGAGAAAAGCCAGCTGAGAAGGCAAAAGCTGGTGCTGATGCTAAGTTTGGGAAGCCCTGAGTGGCTGTTAAGCACTAAGTCAGCTGAGGAAGGACAGTGAGTCTCGTAAAATCACCTGTGGGTGATGCCCTGCTCGTTCTTGAGCGAGGGTGAGGAGCTGAGGAACCCGTCCTTGGGGGATGGGTGGGGAACGTGGCTTGGGGTGAAGACCAAGACAAAGAGGGGACCCAAGAGAGGCTGCATGTAGAGTTTGGATCCCCGACCCATGTGCTTGTGCAGTGGGTTGGCCTGAGTGCAGGGGTCTATGTGTCGCATTGGTGGCTATGAAGGCCGAGTGTTGGAGCGACTGCAGACAGAAACCCTGAGGGTTGGCGATTACCCCCAACAGTATAGAACCGCCAATCCCAGAGTGAGTGCATCCTGGGGGTGGATGATGTGTGTGGCTTGTAGCTGAGACCACAGCCAGAGGTCAGGAAGCCTGATGGCTCCTGGCATGTGACAGAGATGTCTGAGTGATTTCCCCTCCCTTGTATGAGCAATGCCTTTGGCAGCAGATTTGGTGGATCATCTGCTGGTACCAATAATTGTCTTTTGCCACTAGGTTGGGGCCCTGCCTGGGCTTATTTGTGTTCTGTTGTATTTTGTTGTTATATTGTGATGTATTTGCTTTGTGGGCCATGGCTGCATTGCTTATGTTTGCTAAGAAAATTGTATATATGTAGATTGTATAGCAGAAAGCCCTGAGGGAGTGGACTGTAGGGTAAGGAAAAAATGTCAGGCTTTTCTGCCCTCCCGCCATTAGGATAGATGATGGAACCCTGCGTTCCTGAATGCATGCCTGATGGCGGGCACCTGGAGTAGGGTGTGGGCATAGGTAGATGGGATTCACCTGGGCTAAGACTGGGCTTTTAAGGGCGGCATCAACAGGGACGCCAGCAGAAGCTGAGAGAGTAGCAGAGCCATGAGAAGAGCAGAGAATGAGAGAAGGTCGGCGAGCCCAGAGTGAAGACTTGGTGGGGGCTGGCAGGCCTCCCAGCCCCCCAGTGCCCCTGCCTGCCATGTACCTGGTAATCTAAATAAAAAACCTGCAAAAGCCACTGAGGACTCTGACTCCTTTACCCGGTCTGCTGGATCATAGAAAACCTGCTCTGTGGTCTTCCTGACCCTACAGTGACCCTATTCTTTGGCTGGAAGTCAGAGACTGCTGTGAGGCTTATAACTGGCAAATGGTAAGGGTTTATAGGTAAGCTATCAGGAGCTGGAAGTTCCAGAACTAGCGATGACCAAGTAGGTATGGATACCACTTGGTTATTACTAAGGAGAAAAAGGATGTCAAGATATTGTCTCCCTAAAAGCTGTTTTACTTTGATAGGAAAAGGACTCCATTTTTTCACAAGCAGAAGAAAAAAATTTACCAGAGAGAGCTTGAAAGAAAGAACTAATATATTACGTGGACTTTGGCTCCTGCCTCAAACACAAACTGTAAAGACCAAGCAACAAACAAACCCATAACTGAGGAAATGTGATAAGAACTGAATATTTGGTGACATTTGGGAATTACTGTTAGGTTTTTTAGTTGTGATAATGGTATTGTGGTAGCTTGATTTTTTTTTTTTTTGAGACTACCTTTTAAAAATAATAAAATATTTATAAATGATATCTGAGATTTACTTTTAAATAATCAGATTTGGGAGGGGTGGGTGAGGTGATATTGATAAAATTATCCATGAGTTGATAATTATTGAAGCTGGGTGATGAGAGTTGATTATTACTGAAGTTGAATGATGAGTATTATGGAGGGTGAGTATACTCCTTTCTACTTTTATATATACTTGGATTTTTCATTTTAAAAACTTGCTTCCCAGCGCATTTGGAGACTAGGATCTGACTGCTCTAGAGTGGCATGGCTTCCTTGGCTAGACTCAGTTCTGGCTCAAAGCCCCTACTTGGCCCCAGGCATCACATATTTGAGGATTACCCCACTCTGTGGGAGCACCTACGCCTAAGGATCTTCAACAGACTATGCTTTTGTCTGTTGCATCTCCAAAAGAAAAAAATGTGTCAAACTGTAAAACACATCCCCAAGTGGTAAGCCCACTTGGGAACATGTCACAGTGCTAGGCAACTGGAAAGGGTGCTTTCTTCAAACAATTTACAAGACATTAATATTCAACCAGCTGCAAAGGCTAATGGTCAAGTTCTGCCTTCGGGCAGAGGCTTCAATCCCACATGAATAGGCATTTCCTGGGAGTTTCTGAATAGAGAATCTGGGCCTGTTTATGTAAGGTCTGGCCTTTAAAAAGTCAAGAATTTATATGATTAAGGTGAAAAAAGATCAGCGGGCACACTGTCCTTTAAGGTTCAATTTATAGGGCAAAGGAAAGAGAAGCAAAATACTGTCCACTAAGCACAATAGAGAGATTCTGCTTGGGTTTTCAGCACCGATTCAATTTTCTTTTAGTAGGTCAAGTCAGACCTTCCATGCTAATTTAAGAAACGTATTCTTTTCTTCTTAGTTTTATATTTATCAGATTCTAAAAAGCTGTGGTTAAAGTCTATTTTCCAGAATCCTTCATTTGTAAAGGTTGTTCATTTTCAAGTAAATAAACTCCTAAGATGTTTAAAGATAGAAATGATAGATAAATCAATTGCAAAATTGAGAAAATAGATCATTTCCTGTCTCATGTGTTTGTTGAATTAAAGTTTTGGGCAAATGTTCAGGGAAAGCACAGTGAAATGCCAGATTTTTCACATTACTAGAAGAAAAAAAACCTCAAACAATTATTAGTAGAAATGAGCCTAAATATAAACATGGCAAATAAAAGTTCCAAATAGCCCCCAATATAATTGCAAGTAGCACAAATTATCACACTATTCATATGCTTAAAGTAGAAGGGAGAGTAAGGGGTTAACAACAAAACCTTACAGTTTCTGGAGAGCATTCCAGGGTAGGTCTATTTGCCCAGCAGCAACAACAACAAAAAAAACCACTGGAGAAAAATGATGTCGAAAACCTCATCCATTTGGAGATAGTATTAAGTGATTATTTCTATGATTACAGTGATGAAAGTCACACTACAAATTCAGCTTCCTGAATTTTCAATGGAAAACTCAATTACAGGGATGACCAGGAGTACATTAGGGAATCTGAAGGTCAACATGGCAGCCAGCTGAGTGATGGAAATCAATTTCATGGGATTCAGACAGGCTTTCATGCTCACAGAACCTTGAACATCTTGAATCCTTTCTGCCACAGAGGCTAGTAGTCAAAGGAAAATATTAAAATTCACCTGAATTAATTACTTCATTCAGCTACATGTGGTGCAACATGATAAAGCAAAGTAAACATTTATTTCAAAAGTGTCCTCTGAAGGAGACATTATAGAAAGGAAAAACCTTACCCTCCCATTGAAACCCCTGCTGCCAGAAAAGGGGCAGAAGGGAATAGACTGTGTACGTGGTGAATAACTGTCTCCAAATCTTCAGTGTTAGCACAACAATAAGTTCTCGGCGTCTGTAAGTGGTGACGGGTAAAACACAAAAATTAAAATTGTGAGGTTAATTATTTGTAAAATGCAGAAATGCAAAAAAAAAGCAAGAAGTCATAAATATGAGAAAATAACCTTTGTACATAATAATAGTTTATCCTTTTCATATCTTGCAGTACACATATATTTCACAAAGTGAACACTATCTGAGTTGTCATTAACAAAGAAAGGCTCTGTTCAAGCAAGGAAGGCATGATGGAAATGGAGCAAGGTCAATACAAATACCTTGAATTAAACAGATATGCAGTACCCAATTCAAATGTGTTCCTGACTTAACAAGAATAGAGTCAATTTAAGAAGAAAAAGTGGAAAATTATACTTTTTTATGGATGTTAAAAAAAGTAAGCAAACAAAAAGACTTTATAACAATGCCACCAAAATCTTAACTCTTGGATCAATTTTAACTGGGGAACCATTTTCTCTAGCCTGAGCGATTGAAATGAAGTACTGTGTTTTCCTGGCACTACCTTCACCTCAGAGAAAGCAATAGCTAGTCTACTTATTAAACTTTTTCTTTTACAATTATATATCCATACACTGCAACACTTACAATGATATACTGCAACACTTAAAATGTAAAATATGCAAAGTGCATTATGCCTCAAAACATAATGCATTAAAACATGATTTTCATGTGAACTTCATCAAAAGGGGCTCTGTTTCTAGCAGAAAAGATTCACAGCTTTGAGATCTGGGAGGACAGGAGAATCCAAATTCTAGAATATATGTAACAGTATACGTGACTAAAGTATACATGAGATAAAATAACCAGCAGCTTAATTTTAGTTTAATAAAATCTAGTAACATCATTCTGATAACAACATTGAAACCAGTTATTTGCACCATCCTGATTTTCATATACCAATAAACCATGATCACAATAAGGAAGATTATGGCCCTCCACTATTCAATTATTAACAAGTCTGGGAAAAATCACAATTTTCAATGACCCCTCCAATTAAATTCAAGCCTAAAACACCACTGATGTTATCTTTTTGTGATGTGCAAATATGAGCTCTCCAAAAGACAAATGTAGCCTGTAGTATTTAAAATAGCTAATAATTTTTTTAAAGGTAACATTAGTCTACAATACAGTATAGGTGCCAGGTGTACAATTTCTCACCTCAGCAACAGAATAATACCACACCACACGCACCAGCAAATGTCCATCCTTATCATCCGCCAACCAATCAATCCCCCCTACCACATACCTCCCCAATCCTTCTCCTCTGATAATTAGTGGCTATCAATTTTTGAACAATTAAATTTGTGCCAACAAAACCCTGAGGAAGATCCTATTATTATATTCATATTATAAATTAGGAAATTGCGTTTGGAGAAGTTAACCCTCTAACACATTAAGAGCTAATAAGTGATTATGCTGAGATACTCTGAAAACATACTTTGTGATTAAATGCATTTGGGGGGCACAAACTCAATGTAAATCTAAATAAAATTATATCTACTAACATGCTCACTCACAGTGAGCAAAACTCGTCGTAAGAATTTGTGTGAATAAAAACATTGATTCAAAAGTGCACCTGCACCCCTATATTTATAGCAGCACTATTTACAGTAGCTAAGCTATGGAAACAACCCAAATGCCCAAAAATAGATGACTGGATCAAGAAGATGTACACCATGAAATATACACCATGAAATATTACTCAGCAATCAAAAAAGATAAACTCATGCCATTTGTAGCAACATGGATGGAGCTGGAAGGGATCATGCTCAGTGAAATAAGCCAGAAGGAAAAAGAAAAATACTGGATGGTCTCACTCATAGCAGGAATTTAGAAAACCTAAATAAGGGATCAGGAAAAAGACTAATTATAATAAAGTAAAAATCAAAATCAACAAGCAACTATAAGCCAGAGACACATTACGGGGGAGAGAAGGGAGTAGGATCAAAACAAGGGTGGTGGGAATATTACTGGGACTATAGCCAAGATGAAAACACACACATTGTACAAAAATGAAAAAATGATGTAAAAAATATATAAAAGAAAAAAAAGAATTTGTGTGAAGAAATCATCCTTACTCAGCATTTTTATTACACATGACTCTACTCACACTGCCTAGCTTTCAAGTCTGAATCATTTATGAACAGTCATCAGCATGTACTCTTGTTATGCAGGCTTCAAGTGGAGTATGTGTGCATATGTATGTACACATGCATACACACAAACACATACTATGAACACACATAGAGGACTAGGGTACGAGAAAATGGCCTGCGGAAAATTATAGGATCAGACAATCTTAGTGTCAAGAACCATAGATAGTACCTGATTCCTTATTTACACATGAAACATTGAGGCTCAGCAATTTGCCAAAGGTCATGAAATAGCTGAACCTGGATTATGTGTTTGTTAATAAGTAAATTAGTTCTTGTAAAGCCCTGCAAGCACTGGGATTCCATAGGTATTTTGTAAATAAATCCATACTCTGGTATTCCCTCAGATATAGGAACTGATTTTTCCTTAAATGCTTTTCTCCAAATGGATTACATTAAGATTGAAACTGTGGCCTCCCAGGTGGCCCAGAGGTTCAAGACAGTGCTATCAAGCTATTGCCAGCCACTGCAGCACAAGTTCCATCCCCTGCTGGCCAGAGAGCAACCCACAATGCACAGCAGAAAAACTGATAACAACGATATGGATCAAAGTTACCAGAACTCTCATACTTGGCAGATCTAGACCCTTTTTGGCATGATCTGCTTTTTGCCAGCTGCTTCCCTGTCTTCACCTCCTGCTTCTGGATTTCCAATTCTGGCCCAGTTCTTGTCTTTCTTCCCCAACCCCAAATGTGAGTATTAATTTCCAAAAAGTTTTATCTTAAGCCTGCATCTGTACCTAGTCTGGTCAACCCAATTGCTGAAGATCTTACCTCCATAGTTTCAACAACCAGATGTACCTAATGAAACTTAATTTTTCACAGTCTTACCGTGATCTTGAGTTCTGAATTCAAATTTCAAAGTTCTAGCAGGTGGCTTCACTGTGATATTTTGATAGTACTTCAAACTCAATGGCCCAAAAGTAAAACTGTTTTCATCATAAAAACTCCCAATGTTTTTCCTAACTTCTCATTTTTTTCTACAAAAGACATGTATATTTTCCTAGTCAAAACTTAGGTGACATTGCCCTTTCCTTCTTTAATCTCCTTCAGTATTCCTGCAAGAAACACAGAAGAACCCTTCTTTTCATCTTGGCAAAGCCCTGGCATATTAGATTCTCTCAGAAGGGCCCTTGAGACAAGGACATGAGAGAAATAGTGAACTACTGAGTCAAAGTTTGTTTGTCATATTGTGGACAACCTTAAACACTTAGCAGAGGAATCTTACTTAATTGAGTAAGCAATGAAAGGTGAAAACACTTCATTTGGAAGGTACCAGATATCCCAGTGTGTGTGTGTTTATCTGTGGTGGGGGGGGGCGGCGCGAAGTAAGTCAGGAAAGGTAGGAAGTCAATAAAGAAGATGTTACCAAGCAGTTTGTAACTGTGACCAAAGAAGATTCAATTCCCCTTGGGGCACCTGGACAGACATGGCTCAATTATCGCAGCCTGGTGGCAAGGGAGGTGGGTTATTTATCCACTAGTTCCCTTCTGTCATTGGTGAAGAATATTCCCAGAGGATAACTCCATGGCCCTCTGATTTACTCCAAGCACAGGCCCAGCAGCCTCCAGTGGCTCCAGAATGCCCCTTTCTATCGAAGAGCAGCAGTTGCTTCTAGCTGAAAGCCCTCAGCATTCCTGAGAATGGTAAGTGCCAAGGCAGGTAAAAGTGTGGTAAAGGTATGGCACCAACTGTCTCTGCTATCAGGCTTTTTGCCTCATATCTGGATTATTGAGATAACCTCTTACCTGGTTAACTTCCAGTCATTCCTTACGTAACCATGCATAATTGTGTATCCCATTCCCTGTAAGATTAACCACACAAAAGACAACTCCAGTTCTAATCACGACAGTACAGACTTTCTGCTTAAAATTCTTCATTAGTTTTCATTACCTACTGAATTAAGCACAAATTCCTCTGGCAAACATTCAAGGCTGTTCACAATATTGAAAGTGTACTTTATGGTTCTGTACTTTACTATTTCCCTAGTATGAGAAATATTTCTTCATTTCTCTAGGTATGAGTCAGGTCATGAAAAGCTGTTCTCTTGCCTACTAGGCTTCTTAATATCTTTGCCACCTGTGTAACCTTCATCTGCCAAGTGTCTTGGAAACTGTTAACTTTGCTTGCTGAAATTGTGCCTTGAGTAAATGTCAGACAGCAGGTAAAACTTGCAACTGGTCACCGAGAACTCAGAGATTTTTCCAATTTTACCCCTAGTTTGTCCTGTCCAACCTGCTTATCTTCCTTACTGTCCCTATCTATGTCAGTTTCTATTACTATCTTACTTGTTTTTTTTTTTTTTTAAATTGTGGTAAGTATTTTATTTATTTTTTTTGTGGTATTTTATTTTTTTAAAATAAATTTTATTTTTATATTCTCCATACAATTGCAACCCCCTTATTTTGACCCCAATCCCTCCCCTCCCCGCCCCCCACCCCTCATAGAGTGTCTCTGGTTCATAGTTGTTTGTTGATTTTGATTTTCACTTTCTTATAGTTATTCATTTTCCTGGTCCCTTATTTAAGTTTTCTAGATTCCTGCTATGACTATCTTACTTCTGTCTCTGGTTTCTGACAGTCAATAATACTTGTTGACTACCACTAATGCACACAGGATTATAGTTATATTACACAAACTCTTGCTACTTGATGAGCTGCAACAGGAAACATCATATGCCTTTTTTCTCTACAGAACTTGAGACCCATTAAAGAAAACATTCATATAGAATACACAGAAAAGATACTTGCGAAAATTTTCTTCAGGTCTGAAGATATTACTAGCAGCTCTGTGATTTTAAAAAAACGTTAATTCTCAGTTGGATATGGGTTGCTAATGCAAACAACAAC